ATTCTAACTTTAGCATAGTTAATTATTTAAAAAGTCCATCCAAACCATCAATACTTCAGGTCACCTAGTGTCACTGAAGATTAAAATACATGCGTTTCCTCAAAATCTCATTTCTGCAGTTAGCTCAATTATCCTTTGATAACCTGTGGTTACATCATAGGCTGGTTTTGAGATGCAAAGGGATATTCACGACTATTTCTAACTTTCTTCTTTACACTATCCGTTATAATTATTATACCTACTTCTGTCATATTCTATACAGCGCGCGCGCACACACACACACACACACACACACACACACACACACACACACAGCTACTGACCAAAAGAGAAGAACACCCATTTAGTGATTTACCTGCCCTGGCCACTTTTTACGTGACTGGTATGTATTTCACCATATCTTTAGGAAAACAATCTTATTTTTACAATAGGCATGTGTAATTCATGTTGTAAACAGCAAAGAAATTAGCTTGAGACCTTTAGAGAATGCTGAATTACTTCATTTTAGTAGACACACTTCCTCCAGATCCATGCTTACAAACCTGCCTCCTGCCCAAAAATGCCATCTATTTACACTAAGGCACTTTGGCTTGCAGGTCAAAAGTAGTTCAAGGCTGAAGAAAGCCAAGGTATGATCAGGGGGCTTCTGCAGCTCATACAAGAGGGATGGGGAGAAAGGAATGGAATGTGTGTTCATACCCCTCTGGGGATCACATTTTTCAAAGGTGTAAGGATCTCTGTAGAAATCTATTATCCAAAAACTACTGCTCTAGGCATTTAAATGCATCTTATTTTCCATATTTATACAAGTCACCAGAAAACAAGTTCACTAAAATGGGTAAAACAAATATGATGCATGACTTGCATATCATTTTAGGAGTAATTAAATGAAAAATAGCTCCAGAAACTGTTAACAAACCACATTAACTAGGGATCTAGCTTTCTGTACTACTTTATACCTCCTGTAAAATTCCTTCTTCAGGGCATTCACATCTGGACCCAATTCATCATACCCTACTTACAACAAAATTTACAAAATACATTTATTTTTAGAGAGATAGATGTTACTTAAATTTAGCCATCTGTTTAACTACAGTTTAACATTTCATTGTCCATTAGGCCAAGACTTGTAAGATTAAAATGATGGATGTTACTTAACTTGGTAAGAAGGTAAGTTGGTATGATGACTCAATTCACCAGTATAATATTACAGTGTGCATAAGCCCTCATATGTGATATCCAAATTTAGTTTCTTACTTTTGTTTAATATAATGATACAAAATTGCATGTGTGTAGTTAGGAGTCAAGACATCCCTTCTTGGAGACTTGCAATTCTATTGCCGACGGCTGCTACATTAGAGCAAGACAACATTAACAATTCTGGGTTTTCTGGCTCCTGGTTCTCCAACAGTGACACACACCAGGGATGCTCAGTCTTTGGCCTATGGGCCAAATGCATCCCACAGAGCCATGACATTTGGCCCACAGGTTTCCTCCACAGGATGGAAAACTTGGCAGCAGGGAAGGGGTAGAAGCTCCATGCAGCCAGATCCAGCTTTTCCTGGGCCATTTTTCGTTCAGCA